TATTTATTAAATATTTTTAGACTCTGGCTATAAAGTCTAATAATATATAGCTAAAGACATAAACTTTATACAGGTAGTCCTCAACTTACAACAGTTCATTTATTGAACTCAAAATTATAATGGCACTGAAATAAGTGACTTATAACTTTATTCACACTTATGACTGTTGCACATACCCATGGTCATGTGATAAAAATTCAGATGCTTGGCAACTGGCTGATATTTATGACGACTGCAGTATCCCGGAGTCATGTGATCACTTTTTGAGACCTTCTGACAAGCAAAGTCTTTGAGGAAGCCAGAGTCACTTAACAACTATTATTAATTTAACTGCAATAATTCACTTAACAACTGTCGTAAGAAAAGTCATAGAATGGGGTCAAATTCACTTAACAACTGTCTTGCTTAGCAATAGAAGTTTTAGGCTCAGGGGGACTACTTGTATAGCAATGAAAAGCAAGAGTCCACTCCTGGTTAATATTAACTTGCTATTAAAATATTTACTTTTAGGAGGATTAAATACAATAGTTCAGATTTGAGTCTTATATGATTTTTGTCAACCACACCCCCTAAATAACTATACCAGCTCAGCCCTCAAAGTCTCCCCAGGACCTGTTCCAAGACTAAAGGATCTGGGGAATTTTATTTGCCAGATACCTGGCATATTCCTCATAGCAACCCTGCAGATGTATTTTGGACTGGCTCTGAAGTTCATCTGCAGTTCTGCTGTGAGGAATATGCCAAATATCTGATCGGATTAACTTGGCATGAGGCTGCCTGCAATGGAATAAAGATGGAGAAATACTGAAATTTTTTGCCCCTACTGCCACAAGATAGACCACAATAGAGACTATGGTTTTGTTTGATTGGGTTTGTATTCTGACATGCACCAGCAGTGCTGTAGGCATCTCCTTTGCACTAACTATATTAACAAAACTAATTATATTCGTAACACAAAATATGTTTTCCAAAAATTGATGGAATTTAAAAAATTATAATAAAATAAGACTATTTTAATGAAAAAATCCTATCTAAAATCTTAAATGCAAATTAATTATAAGTAGCAATATGAATGAAACTATGCCATTCCCACACAATTTGAGAATGAAGTATTAATATTGCTTCACTATGAGACTGTTACAATAAATAGCTTTTCAAAGGAACCAAAGGTATCTTAGTAAAGCATCATAATTAAGTGGAAAAGATATACATATATTTACATGCTAAATTTTATTGCTTTTACTGAGAGGACATATATTTAAATTGGCAAATGTTCTTCAACAAGATTTTGCCTTTTCCCCCTATATTAATGCAAATAAATTTTCAATATTGTGACTTATGTGTTATGTACTGAGTGACTTTAGACAATCCTTTATCGTAGATTTTTATCTCCAGAATTTATTTTATCCCAGTCTTGGGGGCTCAGCATTGTTCTGCAGCTATTGCCCAGAATTAGATTGATATCTGAGCCTTTAATATTGTTTGAAGAGCAAATCATACATGTTATTTCTCCATCTTGGCTGCTTGAAAATGTGTTGATATTCCCTGCATGGCTGATGGGAATTCTAGGAACTGAAGTCCACACATCTTCAGGCTAACAAGGTTGAGAAACACTGCTTTAGAATGTCATGGTTTATATATAATCAGAATATGAGTTTTTTGCTATATGCTTCCATATAGCATATATGCTAAATGATTCTCAAGTCATATATTTATCTTCCCTTTTACAAACCAGAAATCAGAAACAACCGCACTGAAATAATTTATCATTCTCCAGTGCCAGCCCTTGAAAATAGATAAGGCCTAGAAAGTGGCATAGCATGGATTTTAGAAATATTCTTCTTTTTTTTAGTGGAATAACAGAATCTTGAAAGTCTGTCAAGAGTTTTATACACAATATTAAATAAAAGCAAGTCAGAGGGTTTTTTTAAAGTTTATCTTATACTTTTCTCTTTCTCAGTATTACATTTGAAGGTTTCTTCATATCAGTTTGATCATTCCTTCCCTATCCCAGGGTTAGGTCTACATTCTTTCACCTGTTTCCAAGTATGGATAACTTGGGTCTGTTTAAAATGCCTTCTTATCTACCATATGAATGATGAAAAGAAAGATATACATAATTTCCACTAAGGATATCAAATTATTAGCTGGCAGATTTCTGCAGATTTCTAAACTGTTTTGAACAGCAATTACAAACAAATTGTTTTCTATCTAGAGTTGCACCGTGGACTACAGTTATAACATTAAAATAGATTAAAAAAACTGAAAACAAAATTGTTTTTACTTTAACTAAAACAGTAGTCTTGAGTTTATGTTAAATATTGTTTTACCTTGAGAACAAATTTATAAATAGACCTGCTATTTATTATTTCTGGTGCTATTATTAATACTATATTAATAGTACTAAAATATTGTCTTATAATAATTAATAATAACAAAAAGCAAACAAAAAATGATAGAGATGGAGATATACACATGTATATACAAATATACAGAGAAAGTGAAAAAAAAGAACATATAGAAAATGCTTTAACAAAAAAGTGAAAAAAACAACAAAGAAAAAAGAAGATATATGAAATTTATTGTTATAGTTATTTCTTTTATTTCTATATCAACATTTCAAAATGACTCAGGGATGTTTACAGTAGAAATGAAATAATTTAAATGCATTTAAGCAAAATATACACAAAGCTCATATTAAAAACAATTTAATACTATTAGCAATTATTAGAATTATGAAACACAGATTTTTGAGGCTTTTTTTATGAAGGCTAAAACTATTTACAGTAGTGTGTGCTACAATCTACAGGTACCATGTTTTCCTGAAAGTAAAACCTAACCTGAAAATAAGCCCTAGCATGATTTTGGGGGGCGGGCCTAATATAAGCCCCACCCCCAAAATAAGCTCTAGTTTTGGGGTGAGGTACACGCCTAAAAATCAAGCTAGGGCGGGGGTGGGGACAGAGCTGCCCCATATGCCCCACACCTACTTACCGTTGCAGCCAGTCCTCCCATGAATCAACACCTGCCTCACCTTGCTGGCCCACTTGTGCGGTGCCCCCCGACCTGCATTTCACCGTCAGAGGCCTTCCAGAAAGGCCTCTGCAGCTGAAAAATGAGCTACAGATTCAATCCATAGCTTGGTTCTTGGCTGCAGAGGCCTTTCTTGAAGGCCTCTGACGGTGAAATGAAGGCCGGGGAGCGCCACGTGTCAATCTGGAACTCCATTCTCAGCAGTAGAGTCATTTCCTTCGGCCGCAGAATTGGTCCAGCAGTGCAGGGCTGTTGGTGCCACCACTGCGAGGAAAGACCGTGGAAAAGATACTCCCCGAAAATAAGACCTGGTGCCTCTCTTGCAGACAAAATAAAAATAAAAATAAAATAATAAGACAAGGTCTTATTTCGGGGAAACACAGTAATGTCTGAGAAAGCCCAGTTTCAAGTCATTACCAGACAAAACCCCAATATCATTAACCATGTACAGAAAGTTTTGTTGAATCCACAGGCATATCTTATCTGGCTTTTGCAAAATAATTACATTTCTATTTTATGAAGTTTTATGAAATATTTACTTGATTCATGAATTAAAAAAAAGATACGAGCTGCAAAAGTCAAGCAATCTTTTAAAATCAGATTTAATTAGAAAAATGATTGTAAATTTAGTAAATAATTTCAAATATTTTGCAGGATTTTTTTTAGATATTGCATTTATTTTTATACATAGAATTTAAAAAGCTATATATTTTCCATCTACTGGATCCCAAGAAAGGAGAAATGATAAAGATATGTATATAAAAGTTAGGCTTGCCAGGGAGTTAACCGCTTTTTCAAAGTCACAAGGTCTTTGAAAATTCATTTATAGCTTGATTAATAATTATAATATTTTAATTTTGTCAATGTTTGACTGAACATTTTCTCTCTTAGTCATTCTTTCTTTTCTCCCTCTCCTTGGCCATCACTTTCTTCCTTTCTCATACCAGAGAAAATACAAAATATCGGGCCTTTTTTGGAGAAATCAAGTGAATAAACTCATAAGAATTATCTAACAGGAGATACTGATCAAACATATTTTGTGATATATAGATTTCATCTTATTTCATGCTTCTGTTAAGCACCTTTAAAATATTTTTACATTCATTACTTTTCGTTATTTGTACATTCTCTATAGATATCTCTTCATTTGAACTGCATAATTTAGAAACCATGAATTAGCATCACTGCTATACTTCATAGTACTTTGTATTGGTCGTATGCTTATTTAGAACACAAAAGGTGACAGGGCAACTATAATATTATGACTATATTATTGAAATCATTGGGAACCATGTATGATTAGCAAATGTTGATACATTTTTTTCAATGAAATGGAGATTTTTAATGTGCAGCTATAATGTACATGCTTGCGGTAATTTATTCTCTTGCATAATTATGTTTCTTAATTTATCAAAAATTCCTTTTGAAGTCTATTTGACTTTTCACTGGATAACTTAACAGATTAACAATTGAAATTTTTTACAAAAATAAATATTGGTAATTAATTTAGAATACAGAACTGGAGTTTCCAATTCTATCAAGGTAACAATCTCAGATCTTTAAAAATGAATATGTTTCTTATAAATGTAAGGAGACTAATTTGTAAAAATGTCTTTTTAGACTCAATAAATATTTAAAAAGAGTCGCCTACTTTTTATATCAGAAATACAACAAATTTGGTGATATGTATGATTTAGACACGTCCCATACAGGTAGAAAATTCTTAGCCTTGTAAATATGATTTAGGGAAAGGATTTACGATTTCAATGTGTTTTTAAATTATATTCCAAAAAACTGAATCTATCTATCAGTGAAGAATATTGGGCATATCAAGTCTGGATTACTGCAGAAAAGATTCCTATGTCTTCTTGGAAAGAATACTATATACCCAATATTAAAGGCTAGCTTGAAGAAATGTTTGCATTCTTAGCTTCTTTATCACACAACAGAAACACTGGACAACATGGTTCTGTTTTAAGATTTAATTGGTTTAAAAACATAATTATATTTTACACAATATTATCTTTTTACATCTTGTATATTGTTCTTCACTGCACAAAAGCAATGAATAAAATAAGATAACAGAAGGAGATGAAGATAGAGAAGGGTAGCATACAGTATTTCATGAAAAGCTATAGTGATATATTTTAAATATCCATGTTTATTTTACTGGTGCAAATACATTTATAAACATGCTCATGTATATGTAATCTGCATATGTATCTATGCACCCATCATATATACACAGACAGGCACACTGACATAATGTACAGTATAATCATATACTTCAGCTATACTGATGCAACAAAAACTTGCAATAGAAAAACTGAACACAGAACTAGAATACAGCCAATCAAAAACTACAGTCCCAAGAAATATGAATCAAACTCCAAAGCCAACCTCAGATATTTGATATCAATTCATTCTGCACTAACGATGTGTAAATTTAGATTTTAAAATTTTGTTGTGAATTCCCCAATGAAAGATGCTGTAATAAAATTAACTAATTTATTAATATAGTATAAGTTGATTATTTGTAAATTACAATATGATATAACATTTAATTTATTTTTCTATGATCAAGCAAGGACTAGGCTATCTGGAAGTTTATATGATTATTTTCATTGAGTTCAGATTATAACCTATTTATTGTAATTGACTTGTAATGTTTGGCTTAGCTGTTCTTATTTTGTCATGTAAGAAACATAACATGATGGAAAATGATAATTTCTGTCAGACTAGCCATAGATACAAACAACCAATTTACATGACAGACAATACCAGCATATTTTATTTCAAGTGATTTTGGTTCATTTTTATATTAAGTAACCCATCTTTAAGACTCACACAATACTGAATTTTCAAGTGTAAAATCATACCAAAATCGTGCTAAATTGTCATTAACATGACAGGAGATCAGTTGTCTTGAGAAATCATTACAGGTATCCTGAATTGCCAAAATATGTGGTGCAAGAGCAAAAGGTACATCATTTGGAAATTCCAACACAGAACTGCTTTCCATATTCTGACTTTTCTTTGCCTCCCGTTCAATGTCTGCTTCAGTCAACTTTGACTGGTTTTCTGAATTTGCCTAAGAAAATGACAGAAAGAACAAAAATATTCTGCATTGAAACATTTCCCAGATTCTTTTGTCTAGAATTTTGTTTCACAATGGCTAACCAGATACTTATGAGAAGACCACAAACAGGACATGAATGGATTATGCTTCATGTTCATATTTTTTGACAAATGGCATTAAAAGGTCTATAACATTTACTTGTTAGTAGTAATATATAATATCATAATTAATAATTGGTAATTATATCTTCCATTAACTTTTATATTCTCTTTTAAAGTAAACTTTGAAACGATACAAATATTTACAGTAGTTTTTTATAGAACGCTTACAATTGGTCATAAAACAAGAATGCTCATAAACATGCTATGATTAGGCCCTATGTAGAGCAAATATTAAATACTAATATATCCAATTCACTTCAAGATTGAGCACCTTCTATGAATATTGAGGAAAAACACCAGAGAACAGTATACCTGGGAAAAGAAACATAATATATCAACTAAAATACAAATTTATTTAAAGTGATTCTGTAGTTATATTTTTTTTTAACATCATCTACAGAGAACCATCATTTTAAGGAGATTCTGATTTAAAAATACAGAATATCTAAAGATTCCTGATAAAATATGATTCAATTCTATGCTGGCATTAAAGGACATTTATAAAGATCTTTCCAAATGGCAGTTTTTAAAGCTAGTAACAGTTCCTAAGACCGAAGGTGTTCAGGGAGCATATAGTTGCCTTCTGTGAACAATGGACATTTTGGTGAGTTGAATGAAATAGAGTAGAATAATGAGTAGCTTATTTTTCAGTTTCAATTAGCAATTAGAAACTATGGTCATAGCAATTCAACAGGATTGGAGAAGATTGGAGAGTGTGAGAACTAATGTCTGAAGTTAGGGGGAGAGAAAATAGGAAGTTGAAAGAGAGGAATAATAAGAATAAGTTGATTGAAATAAGAGCATAAGAAATTTGTGAGAGTTAGATTGAATGAAAGGAAATGGAGATGGCAAGATTGTTCCTTTATTTAAAGAAATTACTATTATTACATGCCAGGAAACAATTAAAATGTGAATGAATTCGGTTTAATCATGATAGTGGTTCTTTTCATAGTTAACAAATAACATAAATACTTTTCTAGGCACATACAAAGTGTTTCCAAAGAGGAACTGCAGGTACATTTTGTCAAAGACTTATTAACTACTTGATAATATGTTTGACCCAGTCAATGTGGGCATACTATTTATACTAGATATAATGTTAAACTTATCATAAAAAAGTGAATATCCTTTGAGTCAAATTTGATTCTAATGGTATGGGACCACTCTTAATTTTAAAAATATTTTACAGTTGTTTAATACCTATATAAATTAAGAATAGTATCTCTGATAATTTTATCTAAGCAACTAGTTTTCTTTTGTAAAATGTTTAATGTGTGATAAACAGTTTATCATATAGCTGGAACCCTAATCCCACAATTTCTGAGAAGGTTTAGCGTGCCTGTTGTCCTAATAAATAGAAGAATACTCTCTATGTCTATGCATTTGTATCTATAAATATTCTTGTACTCTATTGACTGAAAAATGTTATTCAGGCATTGGTTATTTATATCTATTCCCTCTGTGTTTCCTCACTAACATATAGCATACAATAAAATAATATTTTGATTTGAATGTTTATATATTTTGAATTGGTAATAAGCTCATGTCAATCATGAATAATTTAAATCCACTTTATTTATTAAATTTAATCTGTTTAAATAACAAAAGCTCACTATCCAATATCTATTATATTTATGCCTACATATTTCTAAAACTAAAAGTTACAACTAGTTTGATGTAGTGGTTAATATCACTTCACTAGAAATCAGAAGATTTTGAGTTCTAATCCTGATTTATGTATTTATTTTGTATTTATATAAATCACTTTTCACAAAAATGACTCTAGGTTTTACTTGATTAGAATCATAAAAATGAAGGCACTAAAAAGAAAACATAACAAACACCCTAAGCAGAAAAACAGAATAACAGAGGCCAACTATTGCATATTTTATTGAAGAACTTTTATTTTTGGATAGGCTCATCTGATGTTCTGGTCCAATGTCCAGGAAAAGAACCAGGTTTTGGGGGCCTTATAGAGCAATAGGGTCAGGCCATCTGAATCTCAGGTAGGATGTTGTTCTACAGGACAAGTGCTACAAGAGAAGAGACATATCTGCTGCTAGGTGACATTGCTTTACAGAAAGGATTTTAAGCATGTTCACTCTGCCAGAACTCATAGTATGAGCAGAGATAATTGGAAACAGGTGGTGTTACAAATAACCTGGTTATTTCCAGTTAGCAATTAGTATATTTAGAAGTTACTGCAGTGAAAATATCAAGGTAAGTGATAATTAAACATATTGCCTTACCCTAACAGATTGAATGTATTAATCAGATAAATTACTACTATGAATCTTGCCATTACATTTGTCTTGATATCACTACAGTTAACCAATCATAATACCACTGAATAATTAATATATCAGTATCTTCTTTCCCTTTCCATTCACATTAAATTCTGAAGTCCTTAATCTAACAGTAATTGAACTGCTTGCATATAACAGTTCTGGGCTTTATACTGTAACAAATTTTAATATGCAGAATAAATACGTTATCTATAAATATGATTTTACATAGTAAATGTTACCGGTGGTAATAAGGTTTTGAAGCACTATAAATGATACTGATAGCAATTCATGCACAATTTTAAGATAAATACCACAACATCATTAATAACATTACTTAATGCAGTCATACAATAGCAGCACAACACTTCACATTATAGGCAGCACCCTGGTTCAATTGCCAAATATTGGCTTGAGTTGTTGATTCTCTAATTCTGAGTGGTTTATGACAGAAATATATTTAAAATATATTTAAAACCTTAACTACCATGTTTCCCCAAAAGTAACCTATCCTGAAAATAAGTCCTAGCTTGATTTTTGGGGGTGGGCCTAATAGAAGCCCTACCCCAAAAATAGCCCACGTTTTGGGGGCAAGGCACACGCCTAAAAATAAAGCTAGGGTGGGGATGGGGTGTGTGGAGCTGCTCCATGCACCCCACACCCGCTTACCATTGCAGCCAGGACTTACTCGCTAGTCCATTTCTTCTGCGGCGCCCCCAGGCCTGCATTTCGCAGTCAGGTCTTTTTGGAAGGCCACTGTAGCCGAGAAACAAGCTATGGATTCAATCCATAGCTCGGTTCTGCAAGGCCTCTGCAACCGAAATACAAGCTATGGATTGAATCCATTGCTCAGTTATCGACTGCAGAGGCCTTCCGGAAAGGCCCAACTATGAAATGCAGGCCTGAGCTCCATTTTCAGCTGCAGAATGAAGCTACTCCTTCGGCTGCAGAAGAAGTGGGTCGGTTGGGTGAGGCTGTCGGGGATGGAAATGAGTGGAAAAGACATCCCCCGAAAATAAGACATGGTGCCTCTTTTGGAGGCAAAAAAAAAAAGCCCGTCTTATTTTCAAGGAAACATAGTAAGTAAAAAAGCAAATGTTATTATTCAGCAGTCTTTGTAATCAGTTATCTGTAAATATCTATCTATCTATCTATCTATCTATCTATCTATCTATCTATCTATCTATCTATCTATCTATCTATCTATCTATCTATCTATCTATCTATCTATCTATCTATCTACCTACCTACCTACCTACCTACCTACCTACCTACCTACCTATACAGATAAATGAAAGCACATAATTTTTCAGTGCCTCTTTGCTGCCATATTTATGGCTGTCTGAAATTTTGCAACCCAGACCTGTTAGCCCTAATTCAATCATATATTTTTTCAAAATAGCAGATGAGGGATTTCTGACCTGTGAAGTATGATCAAACTGAGTTCCCATCACAGATAGTGGAGGTTTATTTTCTGAGTTATTTCTTTCTTCATTAATGGTAGTGCCTAGGAGATACAGTGCAAGAAATATATACATTCAGTATCACTCATGAATACAATTTTCTTTACACATTAATTTGTAAACCTTTTCTTCCATATCCTCCCAGTAATTCTTAGTCACTGGGATGTTGTCAAAAAAAAACATAGCTTAAGTAATGAAAGATAACCCAGTTCCACCAAACCTTTATCTCTTAGAAGCTTATACCTAATACCTATACACATATTTATCATAATAATCATAAAAAATGTTTCCCTATTTTCTTAAAAACAAAAATTATAAAGACCAAACATATTATTCAAAAGATATGGTAATATTCTTCAATGGCTCAATGGAAGATCACAACAGTTAACTAAATGAATCAAACTATTCCAAAATAATGAGAAATGTCCTGACAGGATAGATTAAGCAATTTTACATTTCACAATGAGGAATGTATTTCTGAAGAGTTTAAAAATCTCTCAACCTCTATCACATACGTGCAAGCAAACAAATGAAATATATTGCTATGGAAAAGAAGCAGCAGTACTACTGCTGCCATTTTTGCGCAGCAAAATACATCCTGCATTTCTTTTAGGCCTGGACATTTTACCTTGTAATTCTCAACTTTAGAGCTGAGACCTATTAGGTGTTGATTTAATTGGTATTCTTGCTCCGAGAATCTGTAGCTCCCAATATCATTCATACAATCAGGAAGAGAGAACTGCTGCAGCTTACAAGAATTCTTTTTTTTTTACTCAACTTGTTGCCTATTGAAGTGGCAATCTATCAATTTAAAAAAAAATGTAATAGTCTTTACAGGTAGTCCTCAACTTAGAATTGTAATTGAGCCCAGAATTATGATCATAAGTCATCGCAGTCATTAAACTGGTAATCACATGACCAACCTAATTTTATGACATTTTTTTCCAGCAATCATTGTTCACAATGAGAGAGTTTTCCAGCAAAAAACATCATAAATTGTGATTGTGTGACACTGTAAATGGTCATAAATGTGGGCTGGTTGCTTAATAGCCAAACTGTGATCACATGACCACAGGTAAGGAAGAAACAGCATTGGACCTTTGAATCCATAACTTTTTTGAGATCCACTGTCATTTCAAACAGTCACTAAGCAGGGACTATCTGTATTTACTAGATCAGAAGTCTCCAATCTTTCTTGGTTGATAGACTGGAGGGACAGGGAGGGGGAAGCAATTTACATGCGTATGTGTGCACACACACAAACAAGACCGTGAGGATTCGCAATGCAAACAGGGCGGTGCTAGCACCCGCATGGCACTCAGTAGCACTGCCCCAATTTTGCCATGTGGGCACTAGCACCGCCCCATTTTCACCATGTGGTGCCCCGTTTTTGCCACACGGCATCCTGTTTTCACCGTGCAGTACCCCATTTGCGTAGCATCAGTGACACTAGCGCAAGTGGGGATAAGCATGCACACAAGTGTGCGGGCACTGGCCAGCCTGTTCCGTGGCCCGCTGGCCAGTAGGCCACAGCCCAATAGTGGGCCACGGCTCACAGGTTGGGGACCCATGTATTAGATGCTTTGAGGGTAAAATCTATCACATTTCTTCTGATTTACGGTGTTCAGTCTTGGCAATTCAGTTTGCAGGAATATTGCAAGTCCAGTTTTAATATTTGATTAACTGAATAGGTGGCTGGTCATGTTCAGCCAACAATATATTTGCCTGGTCATTTTATCTCATCATTGATCACATTAAGTGGGAAGCTTCTAAATTCCTCCCTACAAGAGAGATTATTCACAGATATAGAATAAAATGCCATCAATGGGCTGATGGCACTAAGTTCTATTTCTCCTCTTCTCCTTTTCACTGGCTTGGGTGCAACTGTTGAGCCATTGCCTCCCTGCAGTAATGGACTAGATAAGAGCCCAAACACTGAAAGTCAATTCAGACAAGGAGAGGTACTGCCAGTGAATGGCATATGCCCAGGTTGAGTGGAATTCAACCTACTCTGAATAGTGTCATATTCTTGATAAAGGATCATATTTACAGTTTGGAGATACTCCTTTATTCATTGTTGATTGTTCAGGCACAAATGGCCTCTGTTGCATAAAAATCTTCACTAGCTTAGGCTGATACACCAACTATAGTTATCATTGGATAACGATTACTTTGCTACAGTGATGCATGCCCTGGTTAACTCTTCTTGACGCTATGCAATATGTTATATAACTGCCCTTGATTATGATTTGAAAATTTCAGTTGGTAGAAAATGCCCCAGTCAAATACACTGACTGGGAAGAGGCAATACGAATACATCATGCCACTTCTATGACCTTCATTGACGACTCCCAATTGGTTTCCAGTCCCAAATTTAACCATCTAAACCATTCATGGTTTGGGATCATATTATTTAACATAACATTTCTTCCCATATATTTGTACTTATATCATAATATTTTTGAAAGGCATGATCCAGGCATTCTCCCATACTAAGATGTTGTAAATGACTGAAAGGAGCTTTTTCAGTGGTAGTTCCCTATTTACCTCTCACCAAAAATATACATCTGTTGACATCTTTACTGTTCTTTCTTGTACTAGACATCCCTATTCTCTCAGGACATTGAAACAAAACATTAATGTTGCTATAATTTATAGTTTGCATTACTGTTTTACTTTCTTTTATAGTTTTATTATTTTGTCATTTATTTTAATACTGTATTTTATTTAATATTTTAATATATCTTTAATCAAGCATTTAAATTATTGTTTTGTTTGAAAAACTTAATGTTGTTTTTAAAACAGTAAGAACTATAAAAATGTATATAACCCTTTTATGACTTGTGGCTTCAACTCCCAGAATTCTTCAGGTAGCATGGCTGGCTCAGGAATTCTGGGAGTTAAAGTCCACAAGTCACAAAAGGGCCATAGTTCCCCACCCCTGTTTTAAATAAATAAAACATGTAAATGATATAACCTGAATCACTAAATATTTCTTGAACACAATACAAGGTCATGTGAATGATATAATGATCCTACTGAAAAAGTAATTTTATACTGTTCAGTTTAAAATCTTAATATATCTCAAAAAAAGATTTCATTCTCACAATTATGTATCAGATAGTGAAGTGCAGTTCTTTGGATTTATTTCCAAAAAGTATGGGTGAATAGATATAGAACTTGTTTGCTTTTTCTTAACAGTCACATCTTTTCCTTGGATCATGAGCCAACACATGTTTCATCTTTAATTTGTACAAAAATTATTTTTGGCATGATAAAAGCAAAACGGATTAACATCTTCAAAGGATGGAGTGCACAGGATGTTCTCTGAACTGTCACAATGATCCTCCTGAAGGGAAACAAAAGCTTATGCCTATCTAATAAATGCAGCCAGTACTGACTTTTATTGGACATTTCTGCCTTAACTAGAAGTCAAACCATTTTTTTAAAAAGACTTATCAGTTATCTCAATACAGCCCAGAGGAAAGCAAAAATATCTAAAATATTACCTTTTATACCTTTTCTAACCTGTCTTCTTAGGACCAGAGATGTCCATATATTTCTAAAAAAATTACCTGAAAAAAAAGGGGGGGTATTCTCAGCTTCTACAAAGCAACTGGAGCTGCTTAATTTAGTAGATTCTAGAACTTTCTCTTCCAGTCTTAACAAAAATACTGTCATTACAGTATTGCATATGATAGCAAGTATTAAAATTGAACACATTTTTACAGAAAACTTACAAAGCTGTATATGTTCAGGCTACAGTTGTTTCTACTTTGCTTTATTATTTATTGCTACTGTACATATATGTAATATAAGGCATTTATGGACAATAGAAAGGCTTTAAAAATAAACATAAAATACTATTTATATGCATTGTTTAAATACTATTTAAATCAAGAATATTATACTTTTTAAAAAAAATAGAATGATTATGTTTCTATTTTGATTCTGAGCTCCAAACTATGTGAAGTATGTGTCCAAAATATGAGAAATATAGTATATAATTGCTTTTGCTCAATTTGTATAACTGATTTTCTGGAACTTAGTTTCTGCCCTTGTTCATCTTCAATAAGGCTATAATCAAAAATATCATCCATGAATACCAAAATATCTTTCAAATGCTGTTGGGAAACAGATCATTGAGGCAACTTAGAAATATTAGAAATCCTCATAGGCAACCTTTGGAAGAAAAATCTACCAGTCTAATAAGATCTAAATCCACTGTCAGCATTGGGCAATGGAAATACTTGAGTACCAACAAGTTGTGGGAAAATATAATCTATAGTGAGAGAATGCACCTCTTTTTTACATAGTTGATTGAAAGAACTAGTCTATAAATTTATGAAATGAGCCACTTTTCTCCCACAAAACAATTTTCAAACTTTGAAACTTGAATATTTCCAATCGCCTGTTATTAGACCATCCCGTTTCATGTAATTAAAGTAGTAAGACAAATACTGTTTTGACTTTATGAATTCCATAGAAATAGCTCCTACTTTAAGTTTCACTTTATTGGAGGAAATCTTAACCATCCCACTTCAGTACTAGATTTCTAGACAGTTCTGCCATACACCAATCTAGGTGTATTGTCAACTCATGTCTCTTGCTAATAAGACTCTTTATGTGAAATGGGACATATAATTTAAACCTTATTTTTTGTTGGCAATATAAATTCTTATTGTCAGAAAATGCAAAGGATATACAAGATTGATGGAGACAAGACATACTTACAGGCACTTATTTAGCTTATTTATTTTACAGTATATATTGCCCATCTCACTTGGCAGCTGTATCATATTTCAAAGTCTAACAGACAAATTCTAATGTCAATTTTCAGATTTTTTTCAATTTTAAAAGACATTGCACTGACATAATTTGGCAGGAACTTAAGGCATATAACTAGTTCCCATGCTCATCAATATCCTTTTATTTTTCAATTTTCTTCATTGCTCAGTTGCAAATGTATTCATTTTGTTACAATTATACTTTATTGCCACCTCAACAGCAATTTGCCCATAACCTAAAGGCCTTCATAAGTGAT